CAGAAGAAATAGACAGATTCTTAGAAACATATGAAGTACTAAAGCTAGATCACGAGGATGTAAAACTGTTGAATAACCCAATCTCTGTTAATGAAATTGAAAATGTAATTAAGGCCTTACCTACAAAGAAGAGGCCAGGCCCAGATGGATTCATTGCAGAATTCTACAAGAAATACAAAGAAAACCTAATGCCGACACTCCTCAAACTATTCAATGAAATTGAAAGGGAAGCAATCCTTCCTAAGTCATTCCTGGAAGCAAATATTACTCTAGTACCAAAACCTGAGAAAGACCCAACTAAAAAAGAGAACTATATACCGATCTCCCTAATGAACACAGATGCAAAAATCCACAATAAAATATTGGCAAATAGGATCCAGCAAATCATCAAGAAGATTATACATCATGACCAAGTGGGATTCATCCCAGGAATGCAAGGAGGGTGCAACATAGGTAAATCAATAAATGTAATCCACCATATCAATAAAGCCAAAAGTAAGAATCACATGATCATTTCTATAGATGTAGAAAAAGCCTTCGATAAGGTGCAACATTCATTCATGATAAGAACTTTACAGAAAATTGGAATAGATAGTCTTTACCTCAATATAATAAAGGACATTTATGACAAACCAATAGCCAGCATGATACTAAATGGCCAAAAATTGAAAGTCTTTACTTTAAAATCAGGCACAAGACAAGGATGTCCTTTATCACCACTCCTATTTAATATAGTACTGGAAGTACTAGCCAGAGCAATTAGGCAAGAGAGAGAAACAAAAGGGCTAAAGATAGGAAAAGAAGAAGTTAAATTATCATTGTTTGCAGATGACATGATACTCTACATAGAAGACCCCCTAAACTCTATTAAAAGACTCTTAGATACAATAAATAAATTCAGTAATGTAGCTGGATACAAAATCAGTGCTCAGAACTCAATAGCATTCCTATACACAAACAACAAAATCACAGAGAGGGAAATAAGAGAAAGTGGACTATTCACATTAGCAAGCAAAAAAATGAAATATTTAGGAATTACTATTATGAAAGAAGTGAAAGACCTATCCAAGGAAAATTATAATACCCTGAAAAAGAAATTGAAGATGATCTCAGAAAATGGAAAAACATCCCTTGCTCATGGACAGGAAGAACAAACATTGTGAAAATGGCCATTCTCCCAAAACTGTTATACAGATTCAATGCAATCCCAATAAAAATACCATCAACATACCTTATAGATCTAGAGAAATCACTACTAAAATTCATCCGGAACCAGAAGAGACCTAGAATAGCAAAGGCAATTCTAAGCAGCAAAGGCAAGGCAAGAGGCATCACAATCCCTGACTTGAAGTTACACTACAAAGCAACAGTAGTAAAATCAACATGGCATTGGAATCAAAACAGAGCTGAATCAATGGAATAGATTAGAAGATACAACCACAACTACAAACACACTCAACTACCTTATCTTTGATAAAGGAGCCAAGCAGGTTCACTGGAAGAATGACAGTCTCTTTAATAAATGGTGCTGAAAAAACTGGCTCTCCATTTGCCGAAAACTAAAGCTAGACCCATGTCTATCACCATGTAATAAATTAAAATCTAAATGGGTCAAAGATCTGAATATTAAAACAGAAACACTAAATCTATTGGAAGACAAACTGGGTAGAAACCTTGAAGACATAGGAGTAGGTAGAGAATTCATGAACAGGACTCAAACAGCATGGGAAATATTTCCCATAATCAATAACTGGGACCACTTCTTATTAAAAAGTTTCTGCATGTCAAAAGAAATCTCCAGCACAGTGAAAAGAAAACCCACAAACTGGGAAAGGATTTTAGTGAACTCTCTCTCCAACAAGGGACTCTTATGTAAAATATATAAAGAATTAAAAAAACTCAGACCCCCAAAATTCAAAGATCCAATCCAAAAATGGGCATCTGAGATGAATATGCACTTCTCAGATGAAGAAATACAAATGACAAATAAATACATGAAAAAATGTTCATCATCATTGGTCATTAGAGAAATGCAAATTAAAACCACACTGAGATTCCATCTCACTCCTGAAAGAATGGCCAGGATCAAGAAAACCAACAACAACAAATGCTGGAGAGGCTGTGGGGAAAAAGGAACTTTCCTGCACTGTTGGTGGGAGTGTAGACTGGTACAACCTTTGTGAAGGTCAGTGTGGAGATTTCTCAAAAAGCTGGGATTGGAAGTCCCATTTATTCCAGCTATTCTACTTCTAGGCATATTCCCAGAAGAACTGAAAGCATCATACCACAGTGATATATGTGCACCTATGTTTATAGCAGCACAATTTGTAATCGCCAGATCTTGGAAACAACCCATGCCCATCAACTGAGGAATGGATAAAAAAAGTTGTGGTACTTCTATATAATTGAGTATTACTCATCTATAAAGAAGGATCACATTGAGATATTTATCAATAAATGGGCGCAGCTTGAGACCATACTCATAAGTGAAATAAATCAATCTCGCATTAGTGAATACCGAATAGTTTCCCTAGTGTAAATAATGGTTCAGATATATAAAAATATGTGGTATCATGATTCCCCATTATGTGGCCTTGAATCCTTATAAAGTTTTCACTTATTAATTAGAAAGGCTTTATTCTGGGCTTCTTGATATGGAAATATTTGAAGCTATAGTATAGTTTTATTCAAATATATCAAGAAAAAAGACAGACACTATGGAACTACTATTATGTCGGGTTATTTGGTGGTGAAATACTAGGTTGCTGAAACAGTCATGCTTTGACCTCTATTGTTATATTGTTATGTCCTCTTTTATCTCAATCTCTCCCTTATTCATTAAAAAATTATTTAGTTATTTTTTATGGTTTTTTTAATTAAGGGGAAAAATTTTAAAAATTAGCAGGACATATAATAGTAACTTTTTTTGATTTCCTATTAACTTGTTTTGAAGTCCTGTAATGCTCACACTATCTTGTTTTGACTGATTAGACTCTGTTCCATTCTGTATGATAGTATCAAGTTTGAGGGTATAGGCAACTACTTTGAAGGCAATAAGATTTACTAAGATGCCCATTCTGGTTTGACTATTGTCTCCTTTGGAAGTCCTGTAATGTTTACAATGCTTAAGTTTTATTGGTCTTGTTCTCTACTGTTTTGTTCAACTTTATAATACCTAATGAGATAGACAATTCTTTTTAAGGTAACAAGAGGCATTATGGTAACCACTGTTGACAACCTTGTACTGTTTTTACATCATGTGCTATGTCTATCCTTGGTTTTGACTGACAGCTTTGTTTTGCCATATTTGACTTCATTCTCTCCCAAAAAAAAAGAGTAATAAGAACTAAGGAGTAATAAAACCCAAAATGTGTAAATTTTGTTGTAAAAATGAGAAGGAAAAAAAGTGCTCTAAAAGATACAACAGCAAGTGTGTTTAGGGGTGTTTAATAGCTGACCATATTAATGTTTTTGGTTGGATCATTGAACACAACTGTTTGCAGTCTCACTGTTTGAATGTCCACTTTGTATGCTTTGATACTGTGATTTGAACAAGTCTCTCTAAGATGATAATATGTAATCTATTAACTGGTGATTTCTTACCGTTTTTTTTTTTTTTTTTTTTTTGTAATTCTGTGTTACTTGTACCCTTACACCACTTTGTTTTGTTTTGTTTTTTCTCTTTTTCCTTTTAAATAAAATTTTTTAAAAAACTGAAATTCTAATTCAAGTGAGGCAAGATATAAAAAGATTAATAAAAGAAATGTTAAATACCTCTCAAGAAGACATAGATGGAAGAATGGAGGAACCCAGAAGAAGAAGAGAAACCCTTGATGAAGAATACAAACAAAATTTAGAATACATGAAACACATTCAAGGAAATTAACAGGAAATTAAAAACTCCATGGAAAGCTGGTAAAATGCCTTAACAGAAACTAAAGTTAGACTTTCAAAACTTGTAGATAGATTTGCGCTGTAAGATCGTGAAAGACAAGATCTCTTAAAAATAACATGGAACCAGGAAGTAACAATACAAAGGATAGAAGATGACAAGAGGACAGAAGCAAACACAAATGAATTACCAAAGCTATTCATAGACATAATGAAGGAAAACTTCCCAAGCATAGGAAAAGGTAATGATATCCAGATAAATGAGGCATACAGAACTCCAGCCAGCTACAACCAAAACAGATCTACACCCAGACATATAATAATCAAGATCCCAAAAATTCATCAGAAGAACAGAATATTAAAAGCTTTTAGAGAAAAGAAACAGATCACCTATAAAGGAAGACCCATCAAAATCATGGCAGACTTCTCAACACAAACTATCAAATCAAGAAAAGCTTGGAGTGAAGTAGTCCAAGCCCTCAAAGAAAATAACCTCCAATCCAGACTGATGTACCCTGAAAAACTGTCTCTCAAAATTAATGGAGATGCAAGATGTTTCCATGACAAGGAGGAACTGGGGGAGTTCGTGACCACCAATCCAACCCTACAAAAAATAATGCAGGACATTCTAGAGAGAGAGAAAAAAAAAACACCAGGATATCAGGCACCGTGGCAGAGAGGCCTCAATGAATGGGGCAGACAGTGGAATGAAGGAGAAAAGTAGACAATTAACAGCAGAAAATTAGCATAGCAGAGATGAAGCAGATAAGGTTGGATATAATCTCTAACATAGATGGCCTTAATACACTAACCAAAAGAAACACAAGCAGAGTACATCAGGAAAGAGGATCCATCGAGATGCTCTGAATAGGAAATATACTCAGCCTGAAACAGTGTTAATGAACCGAAAGTCAAAGATGAGACAAAGATGCTCTATGTGACAGGGAACCAGAGATTAATAGGGATAGCTCATCCAGCAGCCACAGACAGGTTGGAAAGTCATGACACTTTTGTGCAGTGGAGAACTATTCAGCTATAAGGAAAACCTTGAGGCTTTAATAGGTAAAGGAATACAGGTGGCTCGGGCCTGTGAACCAATTGGAATCACGGCGGCGGAACGATTGGTCCGAGCGGAGGGAAACATGTTGCTCTTCGTGGAGGCAGTACAGAGCTTTCAGAAGACATGTGTAAAGAATATGAAATAATGTATTCTTCATCTTGTGATACCACAAGAAATACTACTGGCATTGAAGAACCAACTGAAGGAATGATTTTAGGACCCGAAAATATGAGTTACCAAATATATGACATTTCTAGGGGCTGGGGATTTAGCTCAGCGGCATAAGTGCCTGCCTTGCAAGCAGGCAGTCGTGAGTTCGATCCCTGGTACCGATAAAAAGGAAAAAGACAAAAAAAAAAAATATATGACATTTCTGGAGAAAACAGTGCGGCAATCTCTACAGAAGACCTAAAAGAATGTCTGAAGAAACAGTTAGAATTCTGTTTTTCATGAGAAAATTTATCAAAGGATCTTTACTTGATATCTCAAATGGATAGTGACCAGTTTGTCCCAATATGGACAGTTGCCAACATGGAAGAAATAAAAAAATTGACCACAGATCCTGATTTAATTCTTCAAGTGTTGAGATCATCTCCAATGGTACAAGTTGATGAGAAAGGTGAGAAAGTGAGGCCGAGTCATAAACGTTGTATTGTGATTCTCAGAGAGATTCCTGAAACAACACCCGTAGAGGAGGTGAAAGCTTTGTTCAAAAATGAAAACTTCCCCAAAGTGATAAGCTGTGAGTTTGCACACAATAGCAATTGGTATATCACTTTCCAGTCAGATACGGATGCACAACAGGCATTTAAATACTTACGAGAAGAAGTTAAAACATTTCAGGGCAAGCCAATCATGGCAAGGATAAAAGCCATCAATACATTCTTTGCTAAGAATGGTTATCGATTAGTAGATTCTTGTATGGACAGTCATCCCATTCAAACGCAAGCACAGTATGCTTCACCAGTCTTTATGCAGCCTGTGTATAATCCTCACCAACAATACTCAGTTTATAGTATTGTGCCTCAGTCTTGGTCTCCAAGTCCTACACCTTACTTTGAAACACCACTGGCTCCCTTCCCCAATGGTAATTTTGTGAACGGCTTTAATTCACCAGGATCTTACAGAACAACTGCTGCTGCTTTGAATATGGGTCGGCCATTCCAAAAAAATCGTGTGAAGCCTCATTTTAGGTCATCCAGTGGTACAGAACAAACTGCAGAGAGCTCTGTGCCATTGGGGGATGGACCATTGAACAGATCTAATTCAAGGAATTTTGCACCTGAACGGCATAACCCTACAGTAACAGGTCATCAAGAGCAAACTTACCTTCCAAAGGAGACTTCCGCTTTACAGCTGGAACAAAATGGGGACTATGGTAGAGGCAGGAGAGCTCTTTTCAGAGGTCGAAGACGACGAGAAGATGAAAGAATCCCAAGACCCCATCCTTTAGCTGATGCAAAGTCGCCAACACCAAAGTTTGACTTACTAGCTTCAAATTTTCCTCCTCTACCTGGGAGTTCATCAAGAATGCCAGGGGAACTCCTTTTGGAGAACAGAATGTCTGATGTCATTAAAGGTGTCTGCAAAGAAAAGGAGAATGAAGATTTGAGAGCTAATGGCCCAGTACCTGAAGAAGATGCACAGGTAGACTGTACTTCAGCCCAGCAACTCAGGATGAGTACCAGTCCTCCATGTGCAGCTGAACTTCCTGCATTAAGCACAACTCAGCAAGAAAAGGATACAACAGATGATTCAGCTGTTCAGAAGGATATTCTCATTCAGATGACTACACCAGTCTCTTCCCCAAGTATTACAAAGCCATCAAGAGCAAATACAGCTTTACAGTGTAATAGTAACATAAATGTACCCACAGCTGTGCCCCTACAGGAACCCCGAAAGTTAAGTTATGCTGCAGTATGCCAGAAACCCCCTAAAGAGCCATCTCCAGTTCTTGTGCAGCCACTACAGGAACTTCGCTCCAACACAGTATCTCCCACCAAGAACCAAGAGAATGGAGCTCCTGAGAAGTCCATTGAGAAACCGCAGGAAAAGCCAGAAGCAAGAGCTAGTAAGGATTATTCTGGCTTCCAAGGCAGTACCATTCCCAGGGGAGCTGCTGGGAAAATCAGGGAACAGAGACGCCAGTTCAGCCATAGGGCTCTACCTCAGGGAGTGACTCGACGTAATGGCAAAGAACAATACGTGCCACCCAGATCACCAAAGTAAAAACAAAACAAACAAACAAAAAAACTACTCAAAAACTTTCTCTCTTCCCATTAAACTTGAGCCAAGGCTGTTTGAACTGCTTTGGAAGGGGAAGGGAGTAGCCAGGAAGGACATGAAAAGTGTATCCTTAAATCAGTATGAATTTTGGAGTTATGAGCAGTAGGGTCCCAAAATTCATCTCTAAAGTGATTTTTAAATGCTGGAGGATTCTAATCAGTATAAATATACATATATATATATATATATATATACACACATAAAAATATAATTTTTCTATTTTTGTTTTGGATTTTAATTTGCAGAGATTTTTCTGCCTGGAATCAATTTTGAGGGTTCAGATTTAACTTGGGGGAGAACCGTACATCCTTCAGTATAGGAGGTGAGGGAATGAGAGAAAATATTTTTTGAAGAAGCATTTTTGTAAAAATTAGAAATTACTTTTTTTAATCTATTTAAAGTTTGGTTTCAAGAATGCCATCTCCAACTACATGGCCTTGTGTCACCAAGCAGATGGGTGACTGCGGTGTCTGTTGTGGGTTGGAGCGCGTGGGAGAGTGATTTCAGCCAAATCTGTTGTGAGAGTAAATGATTTGAAAACTGAATGTAATACTTGAGTAGGTTTTAGTTTGAAATTTCATTTGTCCTTCTGACTTTACTAATATTTCATTCAACAGGCTGTTAAAGCACTGATTATACTTGGAGATGTGACTATCAATCAGTTTGATACTCAAGGAAAGACTAAAGTTACTCAGAATAAATTTAAATTCACGTCCCCCCCCTCTTAAAATGGGAAAAAAATTATTTCATTTGTCATTCTATTCCTTGATTGCCCATTCCCAGAAGCAAAATCACCAATCACCTTTGGATTATACATTTCTGACTGCTTTGACCAGTCTAATCAAATCATAGCTGTTGTAAATTTCAGAATTGAATGAAGTATTTTATCCTTCTGTTGTCATACTTAAAAATAATTGAAGAGAAAATTTTTAAAGGATTAGAGAACTTTTTTCTGTTTACAGTTTATTGCCTTCCTTCAGTTTCTTGTCAAAAAAAAGTTTGTAATTCACTGAATCTGAAAAATCAAAAAGTTGTGAGATAAGATAGATGATTGAAGAAAATTAATGCATAATTTTTCAGTGAATAAAATTGTAGCTGTCATATCAAATAGGCAAGTTTACATGCTGGTATTTAGAAAATGACTAAAATATTAAAAATCATGTTATATTAATCTATTTTAAGTCATACCATGTTCAGAATTCTGTGTAGGGTGTGGTTATATTTTTTCTTTTAGGGATAGTTTGTAATAGTAAGAACTGTCCCTTATGTTAGTGACTTACATATGTACAAATTGAAACTGTAAATTGTGAACACTGGAAAGCACCATTGTGACATAGAATATAAACATCTTAGTAATACATTAAAGCAAATGTAAAAGGAGGTTAAAATTACATTACTGTGAAATTCATCTTCCAATTCTAGTTTCAGCTTTGGAGATTTCTATTAGTGGGTAACTGTTAAAAGCTTTGAAAACACTGCACATTTCTGTTCAAGCCAGAATTGTTATTTATAACTTATTCAGCTTGGCAATTGCTTATGGTTTAGTGGATTGATAACATGGCATAATATATTTACATAGTTTGAAAAATCTTCATTTCTACACACTATTTTTAAAAATCGTCTACTAGATGAAACAATAAAACTATCTGTGCTAAAATTTTGGAGTTTAGGCCTTTAAAAAACAATAATAATTGGCTACATCTATGATAAAAGCAATTTTGGTTTACTTAGATAATACTGCAGTTGGTAGAAATGATAAACATTTAAAATGTTAACACCTTGTGAATGCATTGGATATAAGAGAATAAACTTTTTGTAAAAATCACTCGTAAAGATTATAAACTTAATTATTGCATTTGAAATGAAATTTTTTTCTGCAGTGTATCACAGGTTAGGCTCAACTTTCTTGTATGCTTGTGTGATTTATTGTTAGCCCACCAAGTTCTAAATTTCTAAAGATTCTGTTTGGGTTTTGTTTTGTTTGTGGTGCTCGGGATCAAACAGACCCAGGGCCTTACCACATGCTAGCTAGCCAAGGGCTCTACCAGTGAACTATATATACCCCTGGTCCTAAAGATTATAACTGAAACACAAGAAAGGAGTTTCTTTGTGAAGGAAGTAAATATATACTTTTTCTCTAGACATTACTGAAAGTAGAAATTTAAATACATGACCAGTTTTTAGTTTGTTCAAACTTTTAGTATTTTTATATAACTTGCCTCATTATATGTTTTAGTTCCCATATGATGGGATGATATATAGGGAAGAGTGTGTGTGTGTGTGTGTGTGTGTGTGTGTAAAATATATATATTTATAATCTGCATTTAGTGTTTATTTTATTATAGCAGATTTAAGGTTTGTATCCAAAAGATGCCTGTGAGTTATGTGAAATTACTGACTTTTCCAGCATTACTGTCACAGGGTTAGTGTTCATTTTAGTTCAACTTTTTATTGATTCTTTAGATGGTGGAATTTAAATGTCAGATTTTTCTCTTCACACTTACTACTCAACATTTTCTTGGGCTCTTGAAGCCTAAAAGTAGATAGAAATGATACTGATTATATGGTACGGTGACCTGCCATAGTTATTGCTGCATGAAAAGTCACACAGTCTCATCACCTTGCACTTCAAAGAGAAAATACATAGAAGAAGGCATTGTAAAACCTGTCCCCACTTCTTTAAGGTTTTCACAATATCTAGAATCTTTCTCCAATCTAATAATCTTAGTTTTGCCAAATATAGTCATTTAAAATTGTGATCCATTTAAATTCTTTTTCAACTGGATTTTGAAGAAAGATAAGATCTTTCAGTGAAATGGGTTTGTCATCATTTATGCTTAATTTGCAGGTGATCAAATGACATGCAGAATCCTAATTTATTTTTGGTAAATAAGGCTAGTTTGGATATGTTTCACATTCCTTTTTCTTTTAAAATAACCAGATTTGCTTTAAAAAGGCTTAGTGATAGAATGTTGGCATCTTCACTAGTGTAAAGGAGAACAAGAATAATACTGTTGAAACAGAAAATAGTATTTAAAAATTACTGAACATTTTACTATCATTAGTTATGCCTTAATAATTAGTCTCTTGGCTTATATGTCCACCGGTTTTACCTTGAAACTACAACACTGGGGTCAAGTCTCTGATATTCGTGTTGGCAATATACATCAATCGTATTTTTTAAAGTACCAGGTTGTTTTTAATAGAAAACATAAAACTCGAATGAGAGTAGTGTATTCCTTCTGAGGGATTTTTTATAAATTCTTAAATATAATACATGATGGGACATTTTCTAATTTTTATATATTCTTAGCAATTTGATGGCCATTAATTTAACTTTTTGGTATATGCTAATATAGCTGGTCTGAGCTTTCAAGAAGACACATTTCCATTTTGTTAGCTAAATGACATTTTAAAGAAGTGAGTTTTTAAGTTGAGAATAAATTCTCCTTGGAAATTCACCTGATAACTTCAGGTGAAATTTTTATGAATCTTTAATTTAGATAGTTCCTAAAAGTACAACTTAGCCAATTTCTAGCAGCATATTAAATTGTTTTATTTTCAGTTTTGCAATAGGACATTTATTAGTATATGGAAAAAATATCACCATCAGTTTTGGTTGTTTTTTTTTTTTTAATCTGAATCAAGTGTCTCAAGTGACACCTCTCAAATGTTGGGGTGTGGTGGATCAGAATCAGTTATTTGATTTCTATTTTATCCATTGCTTAGGTTTGTTTCTGTTTCAAAACTGTTCCCCGCCCTGCCAATGGTATGACATATGCTCATGCATAAGATGTTAAAATGGGTACATCCTTGTATTTGTATGTTTCCAACATTGCCAAAGTGCTATGGGAAATTAACAAAATTAGAAAAAAATAAAATTATTAAAAAGCAAACAAAAATATAGGAAAAGGAATACAGCTCACAGTCAAGCTCTGGGGTAAAAAGGTCCCATATCATTAGGTAGATAGCGGTTTGCCCCCCTAATCTAAAAACTAAAGAAGTTAGCGGCACCCAAAATGTACAAAGCACTCTGAGAAAGGGAAAGTGGAGGGATTGTCTAAAAAAAGAAGGCAGAGGACATTGTTAATGGTGTATCATGATTTAAAATCCACATTAGTCTTATCACCTTGTTTAGTTTGTTTTTATTCTGTTCCAGTCTGTCTACTTGTACTAGATTTGAGGGCACAGACAGCTATCCCAAAGATAGCAGGATATACTATGGTAACCATCCTTAATTTCCTATTAACTTAACCTGAAGCCCTGTATTACTTACACTATCTTACTATGATTGATCTTAACAAAGGGAGACTATGCTCCCTTATGTTCATGAATCTTTTTTAAATTTATATTTTTGGGTTTTTAAAAAAATCTGGTTTGTTAGATCGCTGTTTTGTCTTGACTGATTTTATTCGAATTTGGTATGCTCGATTGTATCAAGTCTAAGAGTAAAGGCAACTACTCTGAAGACAACATGCAATAGGATACCCATTCTGGTTTGATTATTAACTGCTTTTGAAGTCCTACAATGTCTCCAATGTTGTATTTTTATTAATATTGCTATGTACTGCTATGTTCCATTATACCTGATGATATAGACAATTCTATTGAAAATAACAAGAGACATCATAGTAACTACTGTAGATCATCTAGTATTGTGTTTTTATGTCTTTTTCATTTCATGTTTTTCTAGGAATTTGTTTCATTGTCTTATTTTGATCTGTTTTTCCCTATAAAACAGAAAGGATAGGTATACATGTAGAGATTCACACATGTGTAGAACTTCTAAACAGTTTACAAGAATAGATTATATAATGCATGATGTAATGAACAGATACTCTGAAGAAGAGACACTAAGATACCCAGTGCTAATTCTGTAGTGTTATGATATAAAATCTAGCAATACTATTATTCTGTGTCCAGAGTGACATTAGTCTTTTTTCTTTTAATTTCAACATATGTAAAGATATGGACAGCTATTTTGAAGAGAACTAGAGGCATTATGGCAGCCATTGTTGACTTCCCTATTGTCTCATCCTGAAGACCTACAATGCCTTCATCATCCTGTTCTGATCAGTTTAGTACTATATTGTTTGTTACGTATTCACTGTGTGTGAAGATGGGGACAACTATTTGGAAGAAAACAAGAGACAATATGATAGACAGTCTAGATCTCCGGTGGTCTTTCTTTGAAATCTGTGTTTCTTAAATTGTTTTCTTTTTATCTGTTTTGTTCTATTTTATTATGTTTCATTTTACCCTCTTTAAAATAAAAAAAATTTTTAAAAAGAAAAAAAGCATAAAGAGGATATTATATCAAAGGGAGACTATGCTCCCTTATGTTCATGAATCTTTTTTTTTAATTTATATTTTTGGGTTTTAAAAAAAATTAAGTATATTGGTACAATTTAGGTTTACACAATGACCACATTCAGCATAGGGAATTTACACCTGTACATTATATGCTTTGATTTGCATTTTTCCCTCCCAATCCCCTCCTCTCCCTTCAACTCCTCTTCCTCTCTTTATTTACAAAGCTTTGTTTCCATTTTATCCTTCTTTTCATATTTTTTTCTTTTCCCTTCCTTCCTTCCTCCTCCCCCTAGTTTCTATTTCATTTTGAGCAATTTTTTCCCATTTCACCCTATCTGTTATACACTTTTGTTCTTATTTACACTTTCAGTTTCTCATGCCAGTGAGACACTGCAATATTTACACGTGTGTCTGATTTATTTCAGTTAAGAGTATGGTCTCAAAGTCCATCCATTTATCAATAAATATCTCAAGTTTAGCATTCTTTATGGCAGAGTATTACTCCATTACATATAAAAACCACATTTCCCTTATCCATTCATCCATTGAGGGCATATGGGCTGTTTCCAAGATTTAGCTATTATAAACTGTGCTATTATAAACATGGGTGTGCACATATCACTGTGGTATGATGCTTCTAACTCTTTTGGGAAGATACCAGTAAAAGGAATAGCTGGGTCAAATGCAACCTCTAGTTTTAGTTTTTTTGAGGAATCTCCACACTGATTTCCACAGTTGTTGCACCAGTCTATACTCCCACAAACAGAACAGTGAAGAAGGGTTCCTTGTTTTCCCCAAAGCCCTACCATCATTTGTTATTGGTTGATTTCTTGACAATAGCCATTCTTTTGTGCAGTACTGGGGATTGAATCCAATGTTGTTCTATCACTGAGCTACATTCCCCGTCTTTCTTGTTTTGAGACAGATTCTGTAGAGGTGTCCAGGTTAAACTTGAACTTGTAATCCCTTGGGGTCAGCCTCCCGAGTAGCTGGGATTACAGAAGAGTGTCACTCATCCAGCTGTGATAAATATTTTAAACAGGGAATTGACAGGATATATGCATAGTCTCCATTCATAGCATAAGATATTTAACATCATTAATCATTACAGAAAGCAAATCAAAACCAAAATTTCTAATTTGTTAGGATATCACTTCCCATCCATTAGAATGGCTAAGAAAAGTGTGGTGAGATGTGAATTTGTGCTCTCAGACATTGTTAGTGAGGTTATAAAATGGTATGGCTACTCTGAAAAAGTTTGGTAGCTCCTTTAAACAATAACCATATGTTATCATATTACCCAGCAGTTCCACTCCTAATTATAGTATCAACCCAAAAGAAATGAAAAAAATATCCACTCCAAAATTTGTACACAAATATGCACATCAACATTACTTATAGCAACCAAAAAGTAGAAACAATCTAAATGTCCACCAACTGGATAGAAAAAAAATTGTATATTCATATAATGGACTATTACTTGGCAATAAAAAAGAAGCCCAGCTGGATGTGGTGGCACATACTTGTAATCCCAGCACTCAGAAGGCTGAGGCAGGAGGACTGCCATGAGTTTAAGGCCAGCCTGGGCTACACAGCGAGTCCAGACTAGCCTGAATTACATAGTGAGACCTTGCCTCAAGAAAAAGAACAAGTCCTACTACCTTGTACAAAATGGATGAACCTTGAAACTGTTATCCTAAGTGAAAAAAATCAGTCACAAAAGACCACATATTTTACAATTTCATTTATGTCAAATGTCCAGAATAGGCATATTCACAGAGACAAAAATATAGAATCAAATTGGAGGATCTATGGAACACAAAGTTACATTTACCCCAAAAGTTATGGCTTCAAATGGCTTTATTTTAATTAAAAATAAATATAAAAATTAATTTTATGTGTTTATCCTAAAACATAATCAATAGGGAAAAAAATTACACAACAAAACCCAGGAAGCAGTAATTAATAAAAACATTAAACAAATGGAATAAATATAACAATATAGGATTTAAAGAAAACAAAAAGCTAGCCCTTCAAAATGACTGATGTCATATGATAACCCCTTAGCAAATCAGATAAAGGAGTAAAAGACTGAAATTAGACATGTGAAATCCTTTTCAGTTAAGAAAGTGTTTAAAGCAGTTATTATTCAACACTATGCATAATATATGGTAACATATTTTAATACTGATGTGAAACAAATGTTTCCTAAGCAACGTAATAAATAAAGTTGATACTAGAAAAAAAGGAAGACAGAAGATACCTGTGAATGTAGAAGAGACAAGAAAAAATACTACACAACACAAATAGGAAGACTTTGCAAGGTAGAAAGCAAAGGTGGATAGCTTAAAGACCTCAGGATCTGGAGAGCAACACTGTGATGAATTCCCTGGGTTTTCTTTTTTCTTTCCATAGATCAACAAAATGTATTGGAGAAGCTTACAATTAAGAACCAACAGGCACTTACAAAAATAAAAGCTTCAAGAAAATCTACTCTCCTTAACCAAAGCACCAGGAAAAAGGTGATCTTATTGAACACAAAAACTTTTTCAAAAATAACCAGCCTACTCCAGCGAAACACTAGTGGATGCACTTTCTTTGCAAGCACCCACTGAACATTCTCCAAGACAGACCATATGTTCTAAAACAATATTCTAAAACACTCCCAAAATTGATTGTATGGTGTACTTTCTCTGATTGTAATTACACCAAACTAGAAATCAATACTGCAAAACAAAATCACCAAACACTTGAAAATGAATATATTTCTATATAATCAACGGATTAAAGAAGTGTTGAAAAAAATTAAACAATAAATGAAAATGAAAATACAATATATTAAAATTTGTAGAATTCAGATAGAGCAGCACTGACAAAAATTCATAGCACTAACTTCAAAAAACCAGGAAAATAACACCAAAGTAAACCTAAAGCAAACAAGTAATAAAGAGCAGAAATCAATGAAACTGAAAACAAAAAATACAGAAAAATCAATGAGAATATTCTTTGAAATTACAACTAGGTTATGTGTATAAGATGCATATGAGCCGGCATTTAGGTATATGCCTGTAATTCCAGCTTAGTAGGACAGAAAAGGATAACAAGTTTGAAGCCATCCTGGGAAACTCAGAGAAATCCTGTCTCCAAATAAAATATAAAAAAGGGTATTGCTTAGCATGTCCAAGAAAAGGCCCTGAGTCAAACTCTAGTATTGAAAAAAAAAGTTTCAAAAAAGTGGATAGAAAGCACAGAAAATTTTCATTTTTAGATTTGCGTCTAATCCCCCAAATATCTCATTTTGCATATATAAACATTCCAAAATTTAAATAAATCCAAAATCTGAAAACAGTTCTGATTCCCAGCACTTTGGATAAGGATAACTCAACCTGGAAATTCTAGGTAGAATAATAAAGCATGAAAAGAAAGAAAACTGCTCCTGTTTGTAAATGACATGATTACTTATTAAAAAAAAATCTACCAAAATAGATGTAAAACTAAAATTGATACAAGAGCAACACAAAACTTTTCTCCTATACAAGCAGCAAATATGTGAAAAACAAAATTTAGAAAACAATGCCATATACAACTACTTCGGTATAAACTTAACAAAATACACAACTTGGATGCTGCAAATTACAATATACACTTAAATAACTCAAAGATGATCTAAATAAATAGAGATATACTGTGAAAATGGATCGGAAGTCCTCACATACTTAACATGTATATTCCTATCAAGTTGACATACAGTTTTAACTTTATTCCTATCAAAATCCCAGCAAGATGTTTTATAGGTACAGACAAGATTATTGTGAGATGCATATGAAAAAGCAAAGGAAAAATAGCTAAATAATGTTTAAAAAGAGCAAAGTGGAAATAATCACTAACCGATTTAAAGTCTTGCTATACATCTACAGTAAGCAAGACAGTGTGGAAGTCCTGCCAGAGGAACAGACGCAAAGCTCAATGGGGTAGAATACACAACCCAGAAAGAGCTCTCACACAATTATGGTCAAAGCTGCAAAACAAGTCAATAGATACAGGATAATCTTTTCAACAAATGGTGCTTGAGTAACCGGACCATTTATAAGCGAATAAATGTGCCTCAACCTGAATCTCACAGTATAAAAAATTAACTCATATTATTAGCAGCGACAAGGATAAATGAACAAATCATCATCTCTCCTTTCTCAGTAATAAAAGCAGCACACACAAAAAGCCGAATTTTGTATGACATAACTGACATCTAAATAATTAAATATTATTTTCGTGTTATATAGATAACATTGCTAAAAATTCACCACAGACTAGGCCTTAAGTCTCCTCATATTTCAAAAATAAGCTTCACGTAAGACATTTTGTGGCCCAGAAAACTAAGCTTAGAAATCCGTTAAAAAGATAAACTTTGGAGAATTGAAAACGCACTTCTAAATAACTTCTTGGTTAAAGACAAATTACTAACGCCCCAAAAGCACTTAAAACATAAAATACCAAGCCAGCGGGTCTTAAAGTGAACTTTAAACGCTTAATCTTGATATCAGCAAAGAGAAAAGGCTGTAAAATAATGGGTGAATCACCCAACTCAAGTTAGACAAACGATTCTATTGCTGATTACACAGGTTCCCCAGCACTCACCCTCCCTAGTCGCCCATCACCTCCACATCCTTCCAGCATCGAGTTCAATCAGCTTGACAACTATCAAACCGCCGCTGAGCCGCTTCCGGTCACCACCCTAGCACCGCCCCTCCTTGTGTTTAGGGGCTTCACTTCGGTGGGCCAAAAGTGTCCTGCGCACGCGCAAGTCACCTTCGCGGCTTCTCAGCGGACAACTAGGAGCTGTTATGGAGTTGATGATTTGGGGCTTTGGATGCCTACAGAAGTGTTGCTAGGCGGGGAACATGGCCGCGCCTAGGTTGCGTTTTTCAATGGGATGCGCCATGTTGGAAAAGTGTTCATTCCGTACTGAGAATAAGGACGCCTCTAAACGCAGAGGCAGGGGTGTAGACGTGTCCCACTGGAGACTGGGGGCAGAGGTGGAGACAGGTCTGTGAACAGGCTTACTGGAGAAGTTTCTTTAAACTTATTCTTACGTAGCCGAGAACCATTCCGAGAAGCTGATGGCCACTTAGAAAGTCAGAAGAGCACCCGCAGCAGTCTCTTGGTTCATACTACTGGATGAAAAGCGGAAGGGGGAATTAGGTTGGAACAAACCATGAAGCAAAACAGGGGGAGAAGTCAGCCTTCCTAGGACACAGCAGGAGTGGGAAAAGGGAAGTGAGTGTCAAATTCTCTACCTCTGTCGTGTCAGTGGGGTTTCGCTGTGGGATTTGAATGCTCCCGTAGTCCACCTTATTTTCCACTCCATTGTCCCCAACTAAAAGGAAAGTATGTACCAATAAAAACGATTCACGTGTCCTTAGCCTAATGCACTATTAATAAAAGCATCTTTAAGAAAGTCATTATTTTTATTTCCTCATAAAGTAAAAATCTACTTAGTGACAGTGCCTTTATGTTGCAAATATAGCTTTAGTGGAAGATTCTGACTTTGACTTTCAACTGGTTTGCTGCCACTTTCACCTCCAACGTGGAATTCTAGAGGTGCCCTACCCTTTTGGGAGAAGTCACCAGGGCAGAAAAAAAAAGTTGTTGTGCTGCCTTTCATGTGATAATGCCTATTCATTCTTCAAAACCAAATTCAAATGTCCCCACACTCCCAAACCCGAAATCCTCGGGATAGAGGAGAAGGCTCTGTGCCCTATAAAACCCTCTGAATCCTCAGATGACAAAAGTATTTTGGGACCTAGTGTTAGTTAAAACGTGAATTTGCTGGGTCTCATTTTAACAATCTGAAATGTAAGAGATGTCCTACTCCAGTCAGTCTATGACCATCTGAAACTAATTTGTAGTCTGAAGGATTTCTCAGTCAACGAGGAGACCACACAGCAGAGAAACCACAGGGCAGCTCACTAAATAAAGGAAAAGATAGAATTCTTAATGTATTTGGAAGAATGGTGAAGTTGAGATGAAATGTAAATGAAGCAGTGTTTGGGGGAGCTCCAAGTGAACCCAGAGCGCTGTTACCTTGGAAACAATTGAGATAGCTGTAGGATGCAGTGTCCAGACACCCCATATCTGGAGCTGTGCGCCTGGGCTGGAAATCAAGACTTGCTTTTCTATGTCAAAGCAACTTAGAATCTCCTCTAAGAATCAGGTGTTTCATTTGTACTGATACCATTTCAAACAGCAAAGTTTCTAACTGTCTATGATTATAAAGAATAAAGTTTCTCAGTGATTAATGTGCTACCATAAAGAACCCAACTTAGAGCAGTAGCCACTTTAAATAGGAGTTCTTTAGGGCATTCCAGCTACAATAGGTCCTTGGGGGAAACATTTCAAGTTAACTTCACATCTAGCTTTATCTGCATTTGTTCTCGAATCCAGATAAATGGTAGGACAGATTTTATAGTCTGAAATCATTTTTGCCTTCTTAGAGGGATGAATTCTCTATCCCAGATTCTCCTTCTACTCTTGCATCCTTTGTCTGGATAAGTGTTCATGGAATGAATAAATGAAAGAAAAAACAGGGCCAGTGGAAGTATATTTAATATGAATACACTTCTAGTAGAGTGCCAAAGATTATTGTTAATGTTGTCTACTATCATAACAGTAATATGGTTACATTAGAAAAGTAGATCTGTTAGATAACTTCAGAGAAGAAGGAAAGATAGAGACAGTAAATGTATGATGTTCAAAGGCATTAGTAGTGGAGGATATATAAATCAAACATGATGAGAGTACATTTTATCCCAATCTATTTCCAAAATTGTCTGACAAGACCAAGAGTTGGACAGTATATGTACACACATTATACTTTCTTCCTGTTGAATAAATACAAATCAGTGCAACCACCTTAGAAAATAGTTTGGCATTCTGTCTTACAGTGAATAGTCACATACCCCACAGTCTAGCGAGTCTACTGTTAGGAATATATCCAAGAAAAACACTTGTACAAGAAATCTAAAATGGGGGGCTGGGGATTTAGCTCAGCGGCATAAGCGCCTGCCTTGCAAGCAGGCAGTCGTGAGTTCGATCCCTAGTACCGATAAAAACGAAAAAGACCAAAAAAGAAAGAAAGAAAGAAAGAAAGAAAGAAATCTAAAATGAATACGACATCCAGTTCACAACAGGAAAAGCTGGAAGCAAAAATGAATTCCCACCAACAGACACCAAAACAAATGAACTAGAACAATTTTCAATAATATGAGTGAATATTAAGATGAAAAACATCATTCCAAAAGATTAAAACATACCACATTTTTATGAAATCAAATGTTTCTAATATAAAGAATATGAACTATTTAGAATTTTGTATAGTAGAAATAAAATTACATACAAAGAAAACTCCAAATTGGTGAATTTAGGATTAAGGATGATGTTTACCTTAGTTGAGGGAAGGCAGGACAATGAATTGAGGGACTACATAGATACAGGGAGGATATTGTCAAGGTCATGCCATTTGGGGAGGGTTGTAGGTGCACAACTCCAAATTACTAAAACTATTTAAATCAGTTGTGGAAAATTTATAAGTATCTAAATGAAAAAGAGAGAGAGGGAAAGTCTATATAGAGGAAAGTGCTGTTCCTTGAATGAGGCAAGAAAGTCTTTGACTCTAACCCAGAGATGCCACCTAGTGGTGGAATGAACGAGAAGTAGGAGTTCTGTGGCCTTGACATCCTGGCCCCTGCCAAAGATGCCCTGGAACTATAGAACTCTTCGTCTAGTCTTTCATGTATCCGCTTCAATGTCTCTTATTCAAACACATTTCTGGAAACTTTCCTGATCCACCCCAACACTGTCAGATCGTCACCATATTTTCATTTTCTTTCTAGTTTTGCTCAGAAATTATCTTATTCATCATTTCCTCATTGGCTTTTTCAACCAATTATTCAATGATTTCCCCTTCTCACCTAGATGGAGAAATCAACTACTTTATTTAGCTTATCTTTGCTGCAATGTAGAGGGAGGCAAATTGCAAACACCAAAGTCATTTTCTTCAAATATTTCTTCCCACCAAGAGCCTGTGCAGGCTGAACCTGGTGATACACAAACGTAATCTCAGCACTCTAGGGAGGCTGAGCCAAGAGTTTTTGCAAATTCAGCTCAGCCTGGACAATTTAGTGACTTAGCGAACCCTTGTTGTAAAAAGGAGGTGAGGGAACTGGGAACATATTTCAGTGTGAAGACCCTGGGTTCAATTCCAGTGTCACAGGAAAAGGGGCTTTGCAGGCTTTTCTGGGTGAAACAACATTTATAAATTAATTTAGCATTAGTAATACAGAAAATATTAAAATATTTGAACTTTTTTCTCCTTTGACAGCCCTCCTTTCTTTATGTAGATCCAAGTTTCTTACCAGTATTATTTTTCTTCTATCTGAGGAGGTTCTTTTAACATTCTTCCATGGCAGATATGTGGGCAATGAGTTCTTGCAGTGTATTTTGTCGGAGATTTTGGGTGTGCACTGCTGGGAATCTAACTAAGGGCTTTGAATATGCTAAACAAGCACTCTATTCCCTAAGCTACATTCCCAGCACCACTCAGTGCATTTGGGTTTGAGAAAGTCTATTTCTTCTAAAGGATAATTTGCTAGATCTGGAATTCTAGATTGTTGGGTTTTTTCTTTTGACATCTAAAACATTTCATTACACACCAGTACCACAAAAATCAAATAATGATATAATTTTTAAAAATAAATAAAAGTAGAATGACAGCTAAAATTATTTCATTCCACTCTCTTATTGGTTGATGATTTCCAACAAGAAATCTGTTGTAGTTTTTAGTCTTATTCTTCTAAAGTTACATTTGGTTTCTCTCTGTGGATTCTTTCAAGATTTTTTCTGTTATTGGTTTCCATGACTATCATTTTCCCAGGTATAGACTGTTTTTGTATTTATCGAGCTTGCTGGATCTGTGATTTGTTTCTGCCATTAATTTTGTACAATTTCTTGCTATTCTTCTTCAAAGATTTCTTTTTTATGGAAAAAAGTAAAACCAAATTTCAAAACAAAATAATAGAATAACAAGTTAATACACTCCATGTAGTTATCTTCAGAGTATAAGATATAGAAATGAAAAATTTCTCTAAATGATATTAGCACAAAACTTTCTTTCCAATGAACTAAGAAACTAGTAGTATAACTATCTTATATATTTCCTTTTCCCTTCCTTTCTTTCCCTTTTCCCTAACCCTAGTTCTTCTTTCTTTTTGAACAATTTCTTCCCATTTTTGCTTCTTTTTTAACTGGGGATTGAACTCAAGACTGCGTGCTTACAAGGCAGGTGCTTATGCCACTGAGCTAAATCCCCAGCCAATTCTTCCCACTTTTACAATATCTGTTGTACATTTTGAATCTTATTTATTCTTTCAGTTTGTTATACTAGGGAAACGATACAATATTTACACATATAAATCTGATTTACTTCACTTATGGCATCAAGTTACGTCCATTTAGCTATAAATGTCTCAAGTTTATCCTTCCTTATGGCTGAATAGTACTCCATTGCATAAAAAGAACACATGGTTTTTTATGCATTCCTCAGTTGATGGGCATTTCCAAGATTTAGCTATTATAAATTGTGCTGCTATAAACATGGATGCACATCTATCACTGTGTTATGATGTTTTTAATTCTTCTGGGAAGATACCCAGAAGTGGACTAGTTGAGTTTAATGGGACCTCTAATCCTAGAATTTTGAGGAATCTCCACACTGATTTCCAGAGTCTACACTGCCACAACAGTTCCTTTTTCCCCACAGTCGCTCCAGAATTTGTTATTGGTTGATTTCTTGATGATAGTCATTCTTTCTGGAGTGAGATGAAATTATCTCAGTGGTGTTTTAATTGGCATCTCTGAAATGACCAATGATATTGGAAGTTTTTTCATATATTTATTTGCTGTTGTATTTCTTCACCTGAGAAGTACTTATCCATCTTGGATGCCTATTTTTGGATTTGGGAGAGTCTGATTTTTTTCAGTTCTTTATATGTTCTAGATATTAGTCCTTTGTCTGAGGGATAACTGGCTAAAATGTTTTCCCACTTTGTGGGTTGTCTTTTTACTGTGTTTGTGAATTCTTTTGTTGTACAAAAGCTTTTTAA